ACGAGGTGATCCCAAAGCGGGCTGAGAAGCTTTGCATGGTTTCCGCACATGTGAAGTAGACAGGCAGCGTGTGACCCTGTCCAACCGTCACACAGAAGCAACTGATTGCGGCACGTAGGTGGTCTTAAACCATCCCAGAAGACTTGAGAATAACGTCTTTTGCTTGGGACGTCAGCCGAACTTCTAATCGTTGACCGATCGCGGCGGTCAAGACTTTGCGGTGGCATCATCGTCTCTGTGACAAAGACAAACGGAAAACGAGGACAGACCTTTACTGTCAGATTTCATAAGATCTCCGCATTCCTAATGATATCGCGTCGCTTTCTAAGTTATTGTGAGCAGTCCAGACAACGAAACGCGAACACTCAGAAGAATCGAATACTATGCACAGCAGCCATCAAGCGGGGACACTCCAATCACAGCTGCATTGTCAAAGCACCAAACAGGAAGCCCAACCGAAAGTTTCACAAGTTCCTCACGTGACCCGCTTCCACTTGAGCATCTCGTGTACCGCCTCTCTTTGGTCCTCGTCGTCGGGGGGCTCCCCCGGGGGCTTTATCATGCCCCAGTTCACGTACTCCTCATCCCCCGGGTGGTACACCACCGTCGATTCGTCCGTCTCAGCACTTTCCACCGTCGATTTCCCCGTCGCAGCGCTTTCCAGCGTCGATGTCCCCGTCGCAGCGCCTCTCACGTCCGTGGATTCCTCCATCGCAGCGCTTCTCCCGAGCACTCGGCTCCCCTCCGAGGTTCCTACTGCCGGACTCTGATCACCGGGGAGAACCGCGAAGACGAACGGCGACTTTGAAACCCTCGCCCTCCGGTCGCCGACTTCCACACGAAGCCCTGCTCTTCCGTTCTCCTTCCGCTTTCCGTGACCGCGTACTGAGATTCCGGGCGCCTTGAGCTGTCGTTTACTCGGTTTTCTTGCCCGATTGATTCTGTCCCGGTCGCTTGCTTCACGTCCGCTTCCGTGCACCAGTTGGGCGGCGGCTCATGGGGAGCTTTTCCCGGTGAGCTGTTCACCGGGCCCTTTCCCTGGTTTGCAAAGAACCTTTTCAGGACAGCTGTCGAGGAGCGGGGAACGACGAGCAGCCTGCGCAAGCCCCATCTTGGCTGAAACCTGGTCAGACAATGCAGCCACAAAATTTGTTCAGAACATGATGAACCGCGAATACAGAATTTTTTGGACCTTAACCATGGATGGTTATGGGTGGCTATGGCTGATCACAAAGTGGTTAAGTGTCCAATAACCAGACACGGGAGATACCCAGCTTTGGCACAAGATTATAGCTTGGTCATCTGTCCAACGACCTGAGTCTCACGTTTGTCAAACACCCTGTTTAAGAGCCAAGATTTAATGGAAACAAAGATGACAAAAGGCTTTTGGAGTGGCGAACACAAGCCAAATTCTGCCCGAGAGTAGGAAGGCGTCTGATGGGCATCGTGAAAGTCAAGGAAAGCTATCGTCACAAACAATGTGTTCAGCGAAAGACCCTTGTTTCGCCACCAGAATCACGAAGAGAATGTCAACGAATCCACTCTGTGTCTCCATGCTCTTTAAAACGAACAATCCACATTCACCTTCTTCCTGCATTTTGAAGCGCTGCTCGGTGCTTACCTGCGGTGAACCCCGAAAGGGACCAAAATTCGTGCGGTCTTTGCGTCGCCGTAAGCACAACCTCTGTCAAACGGGCTCCCACGGTTTTAACGGTTTAGAACCTTTGCATGCACTCAAGCTTCTTGGCAAGCCGTTTAACAATTCTGTTGAACACAGCCACCCTTCATGTTTTGTGGCTAAACTAACAGCTCTCTCGCGCCCGCGGGCGACACATCGGATCAGAGCATGGAATGCGCTTCTTGCGGGGGTTAGAGAAAAGGCGTTCCCTTTCAGTGTCATTCTCCCGCCTCGCGGGATGCCTCCAGTCTCTGGTCACGAAACAGAACGATTCCGTGAATCGTTCAGAATCCTAAAGAAGGCAAGCCAACGAGAACAGCGCACCAGACCGCCGTCGACAGTGCACTGGCGCCAAGTGGGCGCGCAGGACTGTGTCGGCGGCGGCGGCAAGCGAGTCTGCCAGATCAATTGCGGTCAGCAGCGTGAAACTTGATCGTGCATGCGGACGTCTGATGAGATCAGAAGCGATTGCTGACGTACCGACTGGCCGGGGGCGCATGCATGGGCCGATCTAATTCTAAGCGCGCGCAATCACTGACGGCGGCCGCGCACGGAAGCGAACGTCTAGGTTCGGACGGATCGCTCAGTGGTCCCTGAAGCAGGTCGTCGGATCTGCAGTCAGGTCTATAAACGGTGACCGAGAGAATGGTGAGCTGGTTTCGGCACCGCTGTGTCGTGCCGCTAGGCGTCGCTGCCATGCAGCCTCGTACGACCGTAGCGATGCAAGCAAAACGGA